CGCTCACTCACTAAAGGTTCCCTGCTGTCAAAGCCACCATATGAATATTTTAGCAAAATAAAGAGAGCAGAGAGTAAAACTACAGTCTATTTGCCAATTTTCTCCCTACTGACCATGAAAAAGCTCCGCCTGCTGACTGCACTGCTAAGCAGAACTAACACTGTACTGCTATGAAATGGAAGTGCAGGCCAATCTAGCAGCAATCTAACACTGTCAGAATGTTTTCAGAATTAATTTTAAGCCGTAGCATGTGCCGTCTTACAAATAAGGCTAGCACTTTGTTCCTGTTAGCTACCAAGGAAAAGGTCTCCACAGCAAGGATGAACAGAGGAGAGGGTGGGGGGAGCAGACAACAAGAATCATGGTTTTTTATGTGTTTTTAAAACAATCATGCCAGTGTTCCACTGTCCCTTCCTGTTAAATGAGCTGCAAGATTTACCCTTCCAAACCCCATGCACTGCACAACGCTTCCATTGTTCAGGTTCATTAGAGGGAGCCTGCAACGCTAGCTTGTTGTCCCACATCTGTAAAGGGGGTTCCAGCAAAAAAATTATAAAAACTCTCAGAAGGGAAATGACAAACCCTCTTGACTTGCAATAACAGTACTTTTTTAGTCCAAGGTGTCAAAGCAGTTTTTATCTATCAATCAAATCTCTTTATTTTAGGCAGGGAAAACACTGCTCTGGATGACAGCACACCTAAAAATTTGTCATTCATAGAAACAATAATGGGACAAGTACAGAGAACTTTAGCAGATAAAACTCAACAATTTGCACATGCAGCCCAAAAGCTAAAAGCAGAGAGAGCAGATGTTACCACGCAGAGACCATACTTCATATCATTCTATCACAAATGCAAAGAATTGCAGACAATCATGCACTATTCTGCAACCGCACACAGTTCCAATACTATACAATCATTAACCATATTCATATAAGCTACTATAAAACAAAAGCGAATTTTCGTAGCTCAAAATTCAAGAAAAGCAAAAAAGAAAGTGATCTTAGCTTTCAGTTTCAGTAACACTAGTAACAGAGATACCAAACTATTCGTTGCAACTTGTTTAGTTTTCTAGTATTAACAGCACTTACTCATCCATACAAAAAGTAATATAGTCTTACCTGTATCGCACATGAAAGCAACGATCTTCACGCATGCTTATCAAAACATTACTTTCCTCCATTGAGTTGCATTATCAGTAGAGAAACTAATACTGTTCTGTAGCAGGGGAAGTACTTTACTATGGAGAATTGTTGTCAGAACACAGTTCCAGTTAGTACATTAATAAATTGGACTAAAGATATCCTAAGCTTCTGTTGAAAAACTCTTCTTTCTATTAAGGTAAGGAGGTAAGGTAAGGAGGTCACTGTCAGACACCTTCAGAAACGTGTTCGGGTTTTCTCATCTCTGGCCCTTTAAGCTCCATTCAGCTGCGTTTCTGCAAAGGGAACACAAGATGCTTGGTTTGAAGTCTCACAGTCAGTTAATAACTCATAACTATTTGCAGCTGATGTAAAAGCATAACGCTACTCCTACCAAGCAGGAAGTGTCAATCAAGAACTTAAAGCCAGAGCCAAAGCCTTCTACATACACATGGCAATTCCTGCAGACAGACAAGAAAGCAACAGAGGTTTAACAAAAACCAACACTCTCTTTTCTGTTGGAAAATTCAAGTAATTTACCCTTGTAAGTATTCTTTGGCCTCATGAAGTTCCAAGCAAAAAGCTTGCAGGATGAAAGCTGCAAAATAAAGGCATAATCTAAAACAGATCACAAACTGCTTTACACCTTTACACACACGCAGTACTGCTGGAACCCCGACAGCTAGCTGAAGTCCCACAGCAGTCAGAACTGGCTGACACAACCCCATCATCCCACCCAGAACTTTATGAGCACAAAGGCCAGCAGAGGTTTAAGCTCTATTCCCCTTTCCCCTCCTCGCTCCCCAAAAAAAGGAGGGAGATATGGGGGGTTTGGGGTTTGTTTTTTTGTGGATTTTTAACACTGCCTTCACATTCTAAAATGCTGCAGCACTGTCATATGAGCTCCAAACTTTGCTTCAAAGGGATTGCAGCAGCCAGCCCTCAGATGTTAAGACATGTATAGGCTGGCAGGAAAAAGATTAACAGAAAAGAAAATCTGTACTCAAAAGTTTACCTACCTTTAAGTATATTTTTAGTAAAGGAGCTGACATATTTATTACTCAGTACTAATATTACCTTCTTTTGCAAGTAAACATATAGTTGTGTAATTCACAAATGCATATTTCATCAGGAGACTGCAGAGATGTCAAAAGACAAGAACAGAGCTCAGGTTTAAAGCTGTCATCTCTATTTTTAATTGTCGATGCAGGCCATGCCTTTTCCTCTCATTAGTTCTATCAAGTACCAGCTGCGAAGATTCATGCTTCCTATCACACTCTACCTTGACAGCACCCCTCAAATAGACCATCCACATACTTCCAGCCAAACAACTATTTTGCCTTTCCATGCTCATCAGTAGAATTATTTGGCATCAACAAATGGGTGTGGGTATATTTTTGCAATTACAAAGTGTGACACACACAGTTTACAATACCATTGCAACCCACATACTGGGAAGACTGTGTTAGAAGTATTTACTCTCCGGAAGTTTGTCCAAACCTCACATCAGATAACTCATGCAAGCAGACAGCTGTAAGCCACCCCGTCTACAGCAATCACCCATGAGCTCTCCCGCTGCTCAGCAAACACACAGGAATTCAAAGTTCTCTTCCACAGATGGATACGCTCATGCAAATTACTACATGCCACTAACTAAAAAGTCTGTACTTCGGCAACTGCCATAGATCATGAAATAATGACTGTGGTAATTTGTTTGTATATTTACACTGTAATTAACTGAAGAACTTGTTCTAGGAAGGTTTTTTAAAAACAACAAGCCAAATTTAATTAAAAAAATAAATTTCTATTTAAAAGTACATCAAAATAACTGCATTTATTTAAGTATCAGTTATTAGTAGTGGTACATTTCACAGCAACTGTTGATAATTTCATTTTATCTGAGCTATGTTTCTGTCCCCATACTTCACCTCATCCTCTGACTGATGCCACCATCTCCCACCAGCTGGAACCACCACTCCTGCTTTCTTCCCTCCTTACTGGGCATATGGCACATTCCTGGTTTTAGGAGGGTGATACGGACACACCCGAGTTGGCCAACACATAATGACCACAGATGCAACAAAAATTACTGGGTCTGGTCTTCATACCTCGCCTCCTTTACCCATAACTCATTAGGATCTTAAGTTATACCTTCAGCCATGCCAGCATGTAATCAGTAAGGAAACTTAAAGCATATTAATTAGGGTGGTGAGTTCAAAATTCAGGAGGTGGAAATTGATGAACCCTTCCACAGCCAGCATCTCTTTAGGCGTAAGCTAGCCACGGGAAGATTATACCACAGCAGGTAAGCCCTGCCCTTTCCATTGACGCAACCTTAACTGCTCGGAATATCTCTGTGTAGCCAAGCCTTTCCTGAGCTGGTCATCAACATCAAATTGACTCCGAGGACACAGGACTTCAGCAGAAAAGCCTAGTGAATTAACAGAAATCAGGAGTTCTACTCTATCAGCACATCTAACAGTGAAATGGGCTTTCTCCTAAACTTGCATCTTTAATTAAAATTTCACATAGCATGAAAACAGCACTTGGTGCTTACTAGGAAAACAATCTGTAGTAATGCAAAGCAGCTGCTTTAAATTTATTCTCTCCACACCTTTAAGCAATGCAAAATCCGTATCCATGTTAAAGAGCTGCCTTTCAGGAAAGAATAAATAGAAAATTGAAGTTGTATACATAACTTTAAAATGCACAATTTTACTATTCCAGCTATCAAATGCAGGAAGTCCTAGCTTTTCTTTAACTTCAAAGTAGCAGAAAGAAGCACACAGAAAAAAGATTGGACCTCCTTCAGAAGTGGAAAATTAACTGCTGTTACTAATCACACAGTGGTATGAGACCAAAACATACCCTGCCACCCTGAAATCAAATAGAGCAAGGCAGAGGTTCGGCAATCAAATGTGACAGCCAGTTCATACCCCACAATAGAAAACATATGCACCTTACCAACTCTCATTTGCAGAAAATGGGGAGCCATTTCTAGGGCTCATCCACTCGGTCCACAGACAGCTAAAGGATCTTCAATTAAACCACCAGTAAAAAGCTAACCTGGCCCCAACTCAATGCTTTATCTAAAAAAATGTTCTTCTCACTGTCAGAAAGTCACGTTTCATTGTCTTCTATTAAATCACGGATTTACATAGAAGCTACGTAGATACAGAAGCTTGGGGTTTGCATGGCATGATGTTTTAAGAGTGAATTCCTTACTAAATTCTATGAAACTACTTTTAACTTGATCCTCTGAAATTGCATAAAATCTATTACGTTAATTTCTACAAATTTTAGAATGAAATAAAAAAACCCATCATGGTGAAATACTAACGTTACATACTGAAAGGAATGCTTTAAGAAGTGAAATGCCATCACACTTGCACTTATTCAGTACTTTTCATGCAATTATTATCAGTGTTCTCCAAAAGGGAACCGAGGCCTAAAGGCCGATATCCAAAGCAAGCACCTCTCAACCTCCCATCACTGAACTGAATCTGTGATACATACGCTGAGACTTGAATGAGGCTTGCTCACTCTCAGGTAAAATTACAGAACAAACCAAGACTCCCTCATCTTCAATTCTGATCAGCACATTTCAAGTCCCTGACAGCAACAGAACAATAGGTGTGATTTCTGTCTCAAAAGCCTGTTATGCAAGCTAACTGTCCTAGTTATTACAACTTCCAGCCATGCATTCAATATTTTAAGGCACTTTCCATTTCAGAAAAGATTTTATTACATACTATAAATTTTATCACCATGGTAGACAATCACTTCAATCATTTTGCAGTTCCTAGTTACACCGAAAGTCTACAACAGATCCCTTCATTTTAACTTTTGATAGAATACCATATTTCCACACAAGTGAAAACGAATCGTCAAGCAACAGAAAGCCAACGCTGCTATTTATTAGTAGTATACAGAGCCAACAATACGGTTGGAGAGGGAGAAGGTTTTTTTCCCCACACCTTCTTAAACCAGTACATTTCTGCAGCCCCACTGGCTCCTTTCCTCAACCCACACCTTCCTGTCTGGAGTCTGTCAGAGGATCAGAAGTACTGCTTTGCTCATCGACAGACGGCTGACCAGCTGACAGGGGCTGACTGGTCACTTGGGGGCTGACGAACAGATTATCTAACAGTTCACTGCTTTCTACCTTTCCCTAAAGGAGACAATTAAGTAATGCCTTCTGTACCCATCTGCTCCTTTTCACAAAGCTAGAGGAAAGGACTGTCTGCCAAATGAAGTCATCGCCGACTGAGCGATTCAAAAGCTACTAGAGGAAAGTACCAACAGAGGCAGACCAATTGCACAAACTGTATTTCCTTAGAAAAACTAGCTACAGAGCTTTGTTGTTTCAAGATTAAGGCAAATCTCCCAACGCTGAACTAGGGTTGAACGTCCTTTCAGGAAGAGGCTATAGTATCGGGGGGAAAAAAAAAAAAAAAAAAAGGAAAAGGAGCTTGAACCGGATTATCGAAAAATAAAACAGAGCTTTGCAAACCCTATGGAGAAAGAGGCAGACTAAACAACAAAAATATACTGACAGTTCTATTACTGAAATATAGAGATGAGCTGGCTCCATACTTTCAAAATATAAAACAGCATATCAACAAAAAAGAGTACAACAAGGAACACTCAGAATTAGACAAACCACAATTTTAGTCTTCAATATTGTCCAAGGGTATTTTTGAAATTAATCTGAATTAACAAATAAACCTAAAATAATCAAAACAACCCCTTAAAATTCTATATCCAGTTTAATACCGTATTTACATAAACAGCATCATCATTAGTATTTCTGTAGTACTAAATCTGCCCCCGTGAATGAACCTTCAAATAACTGTATGCCACATTGGAAAAAAGTTATTTTTTCAAACCTTGAGCACAGTAAATACAAGTGACTAGCCATGAAAGTGGATCACACAGAAAGAAGAAACACCATACCACGACCAGGGTGGTTACCCCTTGGCAGCTCAAACTCCTCTCTGCACCACTTTTGACAGAGTTCAACAGCACATAGAAACCACCTTCACTGATGACGTGAATTTGAGGTTTTATTCAGGGTCAGTGACAACGTGGAGCAACACGTGCTCTGAATACTGCCGCCTTCTCCTCATTGATTTATCTATGCAGCAGATACCCGCAGAATAAACCACGGGGCTTCTTTCGAAGAACTGCCTTAGCAGCACACCACACAAGCAGCGTACAAGCATCCTTTCCAGCACACACTCCAAGTGCAGCTCACATGGGACATTAACGGGTTGCATCTCATGGACAGAACAGGAAAG